CTCTCTCTCTCTCTCTCTCTCTCTCTCTCTCTCTCTCTCTCTCTCTCTCTCTCTCTCTCTCTCTCTCTCTCTCTCTCTCTCTCTCTCGTGCACGTGCGTGTGCGGGAGAATGAGGACCGTTACGGCACCGTGTCTTAGTTGGCTGAGAAGTTTGTGGGACGGTGGGACTTCGGCAACTACATGGCACGTCTCGGGGAAGTCCTTGTGAGCGGTGGAGATGTGGGTCGATGCTGGCACCGACAGTGCATAAATGGTCTCCGGCCAGCATCGATTTTCCACGGATTGTTTTCGCTGTGAAAGGTACTGTAACCTGAGCGATCCACCCTCCTATCGAATAGTGTCTATTCAGGCCCTTCAGGCAAGTCGGCAGCGAGTATTGGGTGTGCTGCGAAGTTGCAGATTCGTGTACCTTGGTTTATGATAGCGCAGGCCGTCTCAGTGTGATTTGTGAAAGGTCCAATCGCAGTGCAGTTATGGAACAACGATCTTGTACTCCCGGCTTTGCACGCCAGGATGATGGTCGCAGTGTGGGTGTAGCGGATGGTGGGTATCACATGCAGCCATCGTTAGTTTTGAGCTCATATGCCAGCGACGACTGCATGGATGCAGTCAGGCAACAGTTGATTCACCGTGTGCAAGGCATGCAATCCTCCACCTCTCCGTTGCTGCTTCGCTCGGCTTTGGAGGGAAGTGTTGTTGGTATGCAGCCTTCGGATGAATACATGGCCTCTGCCGCTCCTCGTCCGTTGGTCAGTGTGATGTCTATAGGCCTCTCATCTCCATGTGCCCAGGTGCACAACACAGCTGACGTGGCAGATGAGTGCAGGGTAGACAAGAACAGTCTCGAGGAGACTGCTTCTTCTCAAGTCGTGGCGACTGTCAATCTGTGTGCTTCACTTGATGACTGGTCAGAATCGCAAATTCCGTCACACCATGCACATCAACAGAGTACACCACCAACCAACCCCCACCCTCTTCCATGCACAACGATCTCAGCTCCGACAGCCTTTTCGTGTCCTGTTCTTCCTCCCACACTGTCATCACCACTACGCACTTACCCTGCGATCCCCTCCACACCTTCTACTCCAGCGGCGTCCTCTCCCTGCTGCGCAGCTCCGGTAATGCCAGCGACGACAGGTCTTCATGCTGGACATTGACATGCCACCTCCCTTCTCACCTCTACTGTCCCCTCAAGTCAGTACCATTTGTCCACGTCTTCATGCCGGGTACACTGCCATGCCACCTCCCTTGTCACCTCTATTGTCCCCTCCTCCCTTGAGTAGCGGTCGTCCAGAGTTTAGGGTGTTGTCCACTGGCAATGGGGGTGCTGGAATTGTGCATCGCCAACTTCAGTTCGACCAGTTGGAATCGGGGCTGCCACACTGGCAATGGGGGTGCTGGAATTGTGCATCGCCAACTTCAGTTCGACCAGTTGGAATAGGGGCTGCCACAAACGGTTTTGGAGAGTAGTCATGTCCTCGCGCCAGGGACTGGACTGTGTGTCCCGCCCGTGGGTTCCACAACTCATCCATGCGGCAATGATGCCCCTGCCGCAGTGGACATGGATGCTGCTCGGCAGAGCAATGAGAATGATGAGAAAAAGCAGGGGGTCAGGGCATGTGGGATCGGATCGGGTGGGTAGGGGGTCCAAGGCGGGGTACATGTCGGTGTCGACGACGCTGCGGGTGAAGGTGCAAGCTCCCACTAAGAAGAAACCAGCGGGTGTCTGATGGGGAGAGGACGACACACTTCTCCTCTTGGAAATCCGTTGAAAGCAGCTGGCAGCGAGAGCTGAGAAATCTGAGAAGCTGGGCAATGGCAAGGGGGTTGGGAAGGTGTGGGATGTCGTGTCCAAAGATATGGAAGCCGGTCGCTGGAACAGGGAAGCGGAGGAGTGTAAAAGGCGGTGGAATGTCGTGAGGTGGTGGTACAACGAACTGGCGGACAACGACAAGAGGAGTGGGCACGCCAAGTACTTCCGAATGACCCCGGCGGAGTGGATTGAAGCGAACCTGAAATTCAACTTCAGGAGGTCATGGTACAATCTCTTGGAACAGTATTTCAGAAGTGGAAAAAGTAAAGCTCTTCACCCCGGCCATTTACAGGATCTGGGGGCTGAGGAGGAGAGTAGCCCCCCTGTGGCTGGCCAGGAAGCCGTTCAGGAGGGGGCGGGAGAAGGCGGAGCACAGGAGGCAGCGGCACAGGAGGCAGCGGGTGGAGATGCGGGCGCTCCTCGAGGGCCATCAGCCAGCTCGTCTTCCACTGTCATGGCCATGACTGATTCCACACCAGCGCGTAAAAGGAGTCTGCCAACGAGCAGAGCAGGGTTAGCAACTCTTGCACAAAGCTTCACTGCAACACCTTGTCTCAGCTATCTGACCACGAACTTGCTGGACAACAACAGATGAATGAGCTCACATGTACCATCATGCACGAGGATATCACATCCCGTGAAAGAACTGTCGACAAAGTGTGTGCCGGCTATGCACTCCTGGCTGGTGCGCTTCGTTCGTTGAGGCAGTCTCGTTCCCACAGGCGTGGCGGCCAGTGAAGGTTGTGCATGAAAGGTTGGCGTTATTGTGATATGTGTGAGGATGCTCTGAATGATGGACGGTGACAAGGGACGAAGAGAGAGTGTCCCAGTAACGGGGGTAGAGAGAGAGAGAGAGAGAGAGGCCTTTCCTTTATTGGCATTTCTATTTGGGCTAGTTTCTCCGCTAATTTAAGGTGTATGGCATATGCTCATGTCTGGCAAAATCGTCAGTCCTTGGGCCATTCCATCCTTCACCCTGCTACCGACACACCACACCTCCTTTGAGCCCCCCACTCCCCCCCTTCCCCCTTCGACACCCCCCGGTCGAATACCTTTCCTCAGCTGCAAGGTACGGCCTGCCCCACGGAAAAATCATTGACTCCCCAATTTTTGAATGGGAACCCATCAAAACCCCCCCCCCCCCCCCCCCCCCTACAAAGGCCCCATCCCCCCCCCCTCACCACCCGGCCCCCCCTCTGCATCGTCATTCCGTGCCGTCCCATTGCTCGCCCCTCGACCTTCACTATGCCCATTGTTCTCATGTGTGACATTGTGTGTGTTCATCATCTCTTTCCAGGCACAACCGTTCGCCCCACAGGAAGTGCCACCAAAAAAAAAAAGAAAAAAAAAGTAGAGGTGATGGCATCTATAAATCACTGTCATGACATGGGGTTTAACAAGCACCAAGCGAAGGTCCGCTCCGTGTGCGCGCACGTGTGTGTGTGTGTGTGTGTGTAATGGTACGCCACGTGTAAAAACATGTCGAAGCATGATATGGAAACCGTATCATGATCAAGCTCCGAAATAATTCTTCGGCGCAACCCCCGATACTCTTATCAGGCGAACACGGGATTTAAACCAGCCTACTATTCCAAATAGGGATACATACGTATATTCATATGGGTTCCTTCTAGTAATTTTGCGCAAGAAACGACCTAGGAGGCATGTTTCGTCTGCGTGGCTTGGAAATACGCAATCTCGCTATCGTTAGGGGCATGAGCACAGGTTTATCGTTAATATCCAACAGGTCCAGCTCCCCCCTACGTGCGGTAGTAGTTGTAATACCGCGTGACCAACGATCGCGTGTAGTGAACTACTATCACTCGTAAGTGCCAGGATAACGATTGCCGTACGTAGAGGCGGAAATGAGTAAGAGGATAGGGAAAGGAAGTAAGTTTTAGGATAACGATTGTCGTACGTAGAGGCGGAAATGAGTAAGAGCATAGGGAAAGGAAGAATGAAAAAAAAAGAAAGAAAAAACGAGTATAGATCATGAGATCGGAGGGTTGTTATTCATGCTCCGCCTCGTGGTGGATGTCAAGTATACGATCGTTGATCGTATATCCCAAGCATTTACCGTGCGTAGGTGCGGGAATAAGTGGGGGGGGGGGGGGGGGGGGGGGGAACGCAGAGGGACATACAAAAATACCAATGAGATCATACTCAATCGATCATGCGTTGGCAATCATCGACGGCTTCCCCGTTGTATTAAGGCGGAGCGAATACTGAAATATTGCCTCAGTTCAGATTGTTCTCTGCAACTTGAGAACTTTAAGTTGGAATCGCTAGTTAACAAATATGATGCGAGACCTACTCCTAGATAGATATTTATGGATATAGGCCCATTTCTCCACGAAGTGGGCGATGTTGAGTATAGCCTTATTATCAGACACTTTCTTAGATCCCTTCCCCAATTCAATTAATTCAATGAAATTATCCATTCAATCATGAAATTATTCATTCAACTTAATTACATTGTGGGTACTACGGATCCTCTGCGATCCACCTTTATTGGTGAACTTCACCGGTATTACCTAAAGGCTGTGTTGTAACGAGATGTCGTTTCGCCTCCTGTCCCCAATTAATTGGGTAATCTACCTCTTTCAATTCAAACCTAGGTGAGCATATCCAAAAGAAAAAAAAGAAAAAAGAAAACCACGATTTGACAAATGAAACAGTAGTCTCTTATCTGGTCGTATCGCTGAAGTAGTACCAATTAGCATCAATCACAAGCATGCGTAAGCAAGAGTAGGCGTCGAAACAAAGAACATGAACATAGACCGGCTGTATCCCTAGAGGCACTTCCACGCAATATGGGAAGATTGCCTCGACAACCAAAGCAGGGAGGTTGGTGGCAATCCCTGAAGCGCTTTTCTGCCGCTAGCCACGAATACACGACTTCATCAGAGGGTGGGCACCTGTTTCGACATCCATGCTTAGGAAGCAATTGCGGGGAGGGCAATGCTTGCAGTAGATGAAGAAAAGTGAGAAATGCGAGAGAATTCTGAAAGTTGAAATCTCGACCGCGATTTCTTCCCTATCCGACGTGTCATCCTTTTGCAGAGCCATTGAGAGGAGCGATATTATTCTGTTAAGCGACCAGCGTAGAAGATTGCAGGGGAGGAAGAAGATTGCGACCATCCGACATTCAGGATGGTTAGCAACCACGGAAGTGAGCATGAAATTTATGAACAAATTTGCTGGAGCGAAACTATCTACTTTATTAAAACAAAGAATTACAAATTATTACACCAAATTACAAGTGGATGAAATCGGTCGAGTGGTTTCGGTAGGAGATGGAATTGCACGTGTTTATGGGTTGAACAAGATTCAAGCTGGAGAAATGGTCGAATTTTCCAGTGGTGTTAAGGGAATGGCACTGAATCTAGAAATGAGAGTGTAGGAATTGTGGTTTTTGGTAGTGACACTGCCATTAAAGAAGGAGATATTGTCAAACGTATGCGTAGTTCGTCATGCATGCTTAGGAAGCGATTGCGGGGAGGGTAATGCCTGCAGTAGATGAAGAAAAGAGAAAAATGCGAGAAAAGCAAGAAGCGTGATGAACACAAGAATTACGAAAGTTGAAATCTCGACCGCGATTTCTGCCCTATCCGACGTGTCATCCTTTTGCAGAGCCATTGAGAGGAGCGATAGTATTCTGCTAAGCAACCAGTGTAGAAGATCGCAGGGGAGGAAGAAGATTGTGACCATCCGACATTCAGGATGGCTAGCAACCATGGAAGTGAGCAAGCTATGCGTAGAGATGCAAAAAAAACTTAGAAAGAAAAGTGGGCTGCGTCGGAAAGACGTCGGTTCAAGAGCCTATACAGCATCGTCGACGTTGCCAATCAACTGGTCCACCATGGCCAGATCAACCTCGGAGTCCATGCCACTTGCTGCAGTCGCCTGCCGAAAAAAATCCGGAGGTCCTGTCACCGTCACCGCTGCACTCGAGCTTACGGTGAAAATCGTCGATGCCCCTTGCTTGGCCGCACGTCTTCCTTGACCCAAACAAAGCGCATGCGTACTGAAATTGAGATGGGAGACAACGGGGGGGTCCTAATGCTAAATAGTTTGCGTGTGTCGTCAATATCTAAGTTCCCTTTATGCCGCCGACTATTTCGGAATTGAAAACATTGGAACTAAACAAAAAAAGTGAAAAAAAAAATAAAAATAAAAAAAAGGACAAAGAAACGGAAAGGAAAATTGCGTTGCAGACTCCGAGTGTCCGTCCCCGTACAGTCCCCTGTATCCTCTGTTTTGTTCTGCTTTAGCGAAGACAATTGAGTGTAACGACGAGGGCTTTATTTTTGTCCGTACTTATGCATCACTTCTCACAATAGGGTCGGTAGTATATTGCCGGTTGATGAAGCGTCCCATAACCAATGTTGGGTGCTTCAGAAGTGGTTCATAAGATGACACATCTGCAATGTTATTCCCAGCCTGCCCGTAACATGCAGTACCTGCAAACGACACACAGAAAGAAAAGAAGAAAAAAGTAGAAGAAAGAAACGAAAGAAATTTGAAAAAAAGAAAGAAAAACAATTAAAAAAATTGATTTTTTTTAATCCTGTCTCTCTTCCCTTCCGTTCATCCACCCGCCCTGTTGGCTCTCATGCTCTCTCTCCCTGATACCCTGTATATGTGTGTGTGTGTGTATGTGTGTGTGTGTGTGTGTGTGTGTGTGTGTGTGTGTGTGTGTGTGTGTGTGTGTGTGTGTGAGAGAGAGAGAGAGAGA